GAGAGAGAGAGAGAGAGAGAGAGAGAGAGAGAGAGAGAGAGAGAGAGAGAGAGAGAGAGAGAGAGAGAGAAGGAGAGAGAGAGAGAGAAGGAGAAGAGTTTCAATACTGCGAAGTATTGCCTTACATGCCTACTCTTCTTAGGTCAACTTCTGACCAGAGACATTTGTTTCCCATTTTTACATTATTATAAGTAAATCTGTGATGAACATTCTTCACCACCCCATGATTTTAAGCTAAATGTAGTTTTTAAATTTGAAACTTCAAACATGTAAGCAGATGCTCAGTTTCAATTCACTGCATGGAATTAGTGGAGCATTCCTTAACGACAGGGACATGTTCAGGACGATGTCATCATTGTGCGATCTTTGAGGCTGGGACTCATTGAGTGATGGCACCATCTGTGCAGTCCTTCTTTGTCATGCAGCACAGTGCTCTGTTCTACCTGGAAAGCAGCAATCCTACATTGAGAAGTAGATTACTGTTTGTGTAGACACTGAGTTGGGCCACCCCCATAGCCACTCATGAAGACTGCAATTCCATCAGACACATAAAAGAAGGGGTTCAGAGAAGTAAAACTTTACCTGAGCTTGCCTAGGTTTATGTGGTTCCGAAGTCCACCTTTTTCCCATTATTAGATGGCTACCTAGCTGAGCAGCTATGTTGAAAGTGCTTATCTCATGCTAATAGCCACAGGCCAGCCCCACCCCTCCATGTCTTTCACAGCCTGTTGACACTTTCCCCTTTTGAATGGACAAAGATTGATTTGCCAAAGCAAGGCACCTAGACAGCTAAGGCTGTTGCAGAACCTCCTGATTTCAAGCCCACTCCTAGGCACTTCTGCTTACCTTATCTCCAGTGGCCAGCCTATCTCTTTAGTTAGAGCAAGATTTAGGAAGGAGGGGCTGGTGAGATGGCTCAGTGGTCTAAAGCACCTACTTAGAACAAGTTTAGCAAAGCACAGGGACCGCAGTTCAATCCCCCAGCACCACATGCCAGCCAGCCCCGCCCCCTGGTGGGCTGAGCTGGCCTCTCTCTCTCTCTCTCTCTCTCTCTCTCTCTCTCTCTCTCTCTCTCTCTCTCTCTCTCTCTCTCTCTCTCTCTCTCTCTCTCTCTCTCTCTCTCTCTCTCTCTCTCTCTCTCAAATAAATAAATAAATAAAATTAAAAAAAAAAAAGATTTAGGAAGGAGGGGCCCAGGAATTTATCTGGAGGCTCAACTGCATAGTAAGCATAAGTGAAAGCAATGAGTAAGTATAGTACCCAAAATGACCACTTAAATTATAGAGTTCGTACCAATTAAGAGATGTTTTAGCTATGTATGGTGTAGTCCCAGTACTTGGGAGGCTGAAGCAGGAAGATCAGCACAAAATCAAGGCCAGCTTGAATTACAAAGCAAAGAACCTGTCTCAGAGAGAGTAGAGAGAGAGAGAGAGAGGGAGAAAGAGAGAGAGCTCTTACTCCTTGGTCCTCTGAGACAGGAAAGAGTAAAGAACATAAGGGGAAGTCAAAATGTTTAAGATGTGTCATGTAACTGTACCATTCCCCCAAGATTAATGTAATTACTATGTATCACAAACATATCCTAATTAAAAAGGAAACCAAAGACCACTGTGAGTTTGTGCAGTGGCCCACTCTCACTCTGCAGAGTATTTCTCAAACTTTAATAAATGCAAAGCCCCTTATCTATAAAAAAGAAAGGGGGGCCTAAAGTGCCTGTTTAGGCAGAGCACATCAGCCAGGGTTCAATGTGCCATGCCAGGCCCGCCCCTGGGTCACACTGAGATGGTGATTCAGACTAGGCATGGTGGCACACACCTGTAAGCCCAGCATTTGGGAGGCTGAAAACAGGAGAATCAGTATGAGTCCAATCTACACATAGTGAGACCCTGTAGAACCTGTACTGAATACATTTAAAAAAGAAACTAAAAGCATGAAGAGATGGGGGCCAGTGAGACAGCTCAGCAGATTAAAGCGCCTGCTTAGGCACACTAGGCAAGCACAGAGACCGTGGTTGGATCCCTGGCACCACATACCACACCAGTTCCGCCCCCAGGGTGGGCTGAGCTGGTCAGAGTCTAGGCATAGTGTTGTATGCCTGTAATCCTAGCGCTAGGGAAGCTGAAGGCAGGAGGATCACCACAAATCTGAGCTGTGTAGTGAGACTCTGCAACAACCAATTATGTTCAAGAAAAAAAAAAGTATGAAGAGAAACACATAGATGAAGAAAAATACGTAGGTGACCATGTAGAAGTATGAATATAGTTTATGGCAAAGCAGAGACAGAGATTTATGCCTTCAGAGATGGTGAGCAGATGTGAAGGCAATCTGACTGCAACATTTGTCACCTCACTGATTGCTGAGGTTGATTCACCTGATCTGGCTGGCAAGGCATGTGCATGTCCCCTTCCTCCATCAACCCTCCATGTGCATCCCTCCCAAAGCTGTGCACTTGGTCAAAGAGAATAACCACCCCAATAGAGGACCAGTTCTTGGTCAAGAGTATACGAATAGCTACAATCCCCTGCTAGAACCTCCAGACAAGGTCTCAAGTGATGGTGAGCCACGCTGTATAGGCATTTCTCCTTGGTGCAAGTTTGAATATCTTTTTATGCACACAAGTTACTCCTGGGTTTCAGAGAACTATGGTGATTATCATTGTGCAATGTACATGCTGTATGTGCTTAGCGACATTTTCCGTAAAAGTTATTTTGGAATTGCAAACTAACTTCCTTTTTCATGTGTAGAGTGTCCTCATAGGGATGTGAATCATGTAAGAAACTTACAAAAGAACCAGACATGGTGGTGCACTCCTGTGATCCCGGCACTACAGAGGCTAAGGAAGGAATATTGCTGCAAGTTCAGGCCTGCCTGAGCTACATAGAGACCCTGACTCAAAAAAAAAAAAAAAAGAGGAAGAAGAAGAAAAGAAGAAAAGAAGCAAAATTTTTGGTGGTACTAGGGATTAAACCCAGGGTATCTCATTGAGCTATATCCCCAGCCCTTTTTATTATCATTATTGCTATTATTTTGAGGCAGGGTCTCACTAAATTACATAGGCTCCCAAAGTGTTGGAACTACAGGTGTGCACCACCACGCACCATGCCCTTCTGGCTACAAAAGAAACTGTAATCCCTATCAGGTCTTTGCCCAAGGCGATAGGGACTTTAAAAAATGTTGCCCTTTCTGATAGCATTGAGCATAGGCTATTACAACTAGGGATGTTGTTTGCCTCATTCTAGTAATAGAGGCCCTTTGTCCTTGGGCCTGAGACCTAACAAATGATTATAAAAGCATTATGCACTGAGGTCTTGTTATGGGGTAGCCAGCCTCTGAAAGTGGCTCACTAAGTAAACACTACGAGGTTCTGAGCACCTCGCCTGTCCTTCTGGAGTTAGATTTCAGATCTCATCTGCAACAAAAAATTGAATGAAACTAGCAGAAAAGCAGTGACAAAGTTTATTAAGGAAAGCAAAAGTGAAAGAAAGAAAGCAAAAGAGAAGAGTAGGGGAAAAGCTGGGTGTCCAGAACAAGCCTGGGCCTAATAAAGAGAAGAGAGTAGGCCCTGGGGAGATAGCTCAGTAGAATAAGCGCTTTCCTGGCAAGCGCAGAGTCCTGAGTTCAATCCCTGATAACCACAAAAAAAGATAAATCAATAAAATGATCAAAGTAATATTTAAAAAAATAAAGAGAAGAGAGTAAGCACCAAGATAAAAGGACACACAGTGTCTGGGAAACAGCATGGGCTATTATTGTGGAAAGTTACCATAGTGCCATTCTTCATTGGCTGCCTTTTTTTTTTTTTTGGTGAAACTGGGGATTAAACTCAGGCTCTTGCACTTGCCAGGTAAGCACTTATCCTACTGAGCTATATCCCCAGCCCCCCTCCCCCTTTTTAAAATACTGTCCAAAGTCGAGGAAACCCAGAACTACATATGGATTCTGAGAGGCAACAGGAATACCATGCCTCCGGCTGGCTGACATCAGGTCTAGGCCATCCTATTGAAATCTGCTCGAATTCTCATGAGAAGTCCACCAGGCTTTGGGCTCTGTTTTGCACAAGTGTCCAGGATCTTGTAATTATCAGGGTATGCCTACTTCCCCAGCCAGCTTTTGCCATTATCTGCTATCCATTTTTTTTTTTTTTAAACTGGAACTGGCAAAGCATGCAGTTTCAGACCCTCTTGTCCATAGGCCTTATAATGCCACTAACTACCTGCCTGACCAACACACACTGCATATGTTCATTTGTCTAGGCAGATACACTTTAGGTAAGCGTTCCATAGGGGAACCTGGGCAGGATGGTAGCTTAGCTTAACCAACAGCCCAA